TATATATATATAGCGTAAACATAAACACGCCCTCGCAAAGCCCTGATATTGGTGTATGAAAAAAATCTTAGCAGTTCTTCGGAACGTTAAGGGATCGTTTACGATACTGGAATCTCAGGACAAATGTACACGTCATCGTTGAATTGCAGACATTTTGAGCAAAACCATCATATTAATTTAGATATTCGACTTGAACAATGCAAAAGCAATCCTTCGCCAACATATGGTCGCCTGCCAAATGGCTAAGGAATACCTGGCTGGACAGAAGACCCCAATGGATGATTTGTTTCGAATGTATAAGAAGGATAAACTTGACGAGGTGTGCTCCATTTTCTTATGTTTGCCTCCTTATTTAGTTCCAAGGTCTAAATATATCGCTATAAAGTAAAATGAATATCATTAAAGCTTTCGGTTTCGGAAATTATAGCGTAAAGTCAAACCTATAAAACTCACATTTACTTCACTAGAAAGTTAGAGCCGTCATCGCAGGTTGACGAGATCAGCATGCGGTCATTGGTGGCTGAATATACAGCTTGTGTAAGTTTGCTATGCGTCCGTGGTAGTCTTTGTATTCTATTTTTGTTGTGTAGTCATTCATGGGCTTCCATTTCTATCGGCGAGATATTTTTTGTAATCAGAAAAATACGTTGATTCCAGGAAGCAAAAAAGGGTGCAGATGACATGAAGCGGTTTTGTGTGGCACGGATATCATTTGTTAAAGGATGGGGACCAGACTATAGTCGCAAAACCATCAGTGAATGCCCGTGTTGGATTGAAGTGAAGATGAATAGGTACGCGTTAATGTTGTTGCGGTGGAACTTTTTTTCTCAACCAGATTCTACTTCCTCTTTGCATATTTTTTCTGCAAGGTTATTTCACTTGCCCTTTTATTTTCTGTAAGTATTATGGTACAAGTTGTGCACAACCTTCGGGAAATTGCTAACATCCCGTGTTTTGACTTTTTGGCCGTGTTGGATCAGCAGATTCTGTAAACGAGTCCACCTCACCTGTCTACCTTACGTGCATTTTGAGAGATGAATACACAAAGTTCGGACTACCGGAATTATTTTAGTAATGTTCATTGAGGCAGGGTGAATAACGGTCGAGGAAATCCTCGACCATAGCTCTCTACCATGCGAGAGTAGTGCCGAGAGTGAACATCCGCGCGGAGAGCACAGACGGCACGGCATGGCGAGTGTGAATGTCCGCGCGAGAGATCGTCTCTGATCGGGCAGAGAATCCTTTTAGAAAATGCTGCTATCACCCATAGATTCCTCATAACGAAAAACCTTAATACTAAATATCTGAAGAAATTTTGATCTAGACTTATTAAAATATCGGCACTATTGCACTATTACAACCCCAGTAGGGGTGAGATGGGTCAAAAAATAATTTTCGCTGAAATTTCGGCTATGGGGGTTATCGAGGGTCCTGATCACGAATATGA